TCTCTATCGTCATCATCATCATCATCATCATCATCTCATCATCGTCGTCGTCGTCGTCGTCATCATCATCATCATCATCATCATCATCATCATCATCATCATCATCATCATCATCATCATCATCATCATCATCATCATCATCATCATCATCATCATCATCATCATCATCATCATCATCATCATCATAGCATCTTATCTGACCCGAACTGCTCGCAGGAGCCTTAATATTCTTAGAGATCGCAACGAGCTGGCAGATTGAGCTGAAATAAATGAGAGACCCGAAGAATGTTGAAACCGAGAGAATGAGGGCAGAAACGAGGAAGGAAGTGGGAGGAGAGGAGAGGAGAGGAGAGGAGGGGAGGGGAGAGGAGAGATGAAGGGAGGAATAAGGAAGAGGGATGCGATGAGGAGGAGAGAGGAGAGTGGAGAGTGGAGCTAGTCGAAGGAGGAGGGTGAGGGTGAGGAGGAGGAGGAGGAGGAGGAGGAGGAGGAGGATCAGACTCACTCGAGGAAGAGCTGAAGATGCGCGAAGAGAACTCGTCGACGAGAGAAGTGATGACGATGAAAGCGTCAAGACGATTCCAAGAGCTTTTGAAGAACATGCTCGGACCAAACTGCACAGGCGAGATGAGTTAATTTTGTCATCATCGTCAATCTCTTCCTCCTCCGCCTCCGCCTCCTCCTCTGCCTCGTTCTCCTCGTCATCATCATCATCATCTTACCCAAAACATCTTGACCAACATCTCGAAGGTAAAGAGGCTGATGAGAGCAGTATCTAGATCGTTCATAAACATTCTCGTCGTTCCTGATAAAATGAACGAAACCGTCAGCATACCTCTCGTCGTCATCATCTCCATCATCTCAGACATTCTCTCTGACTCGCACTCGGTGTCCCTCCTGCTCCTACTCGTGCTCGTGCTAGTGCTCGTGCTAGTGCTCCTCTGCCTCGCATCTTCTCTCGCTCACCGACTATTGGAGGGTATCGCTCGATCGCCAGCAGCACGCAGGACGTGAGGATAGCGCACAGCATGACGTTCTCGAAGGTGGAGGAAGTCACCAGCACACCCGTGTAGTACCTCACCGTCGGGTTCCTCTTCGTCCCTGAGAACAGCCCACACACTCGATCCGGCACCTGCCGCTCGATGCTCTCGTCCTCTGCTGCCTGTTGCTTTATGCGCGCCCTCCGCTCGTCCTCCTTATTCTTCTGGATCGCCTCCTCCGCCTCCTTCCGCGCCTGCGCTTGTTTGATGACGCGGGCAGCGTCGCCGAAGCCGATGACGACGATGGCGACGAACATGTTGAGGAGCAGGCAGTTGCCAATGAGGAAGGAGAAGTAGATGAAGGTAGACTCTCCTGCTGTCGACACTCCATCCACATTCGCGACTACCTCAGGCCATCCCTCCATCGAAAAGAGCTGAGCTATGAGAGTCAAGCCCCTCCTCCTCCTCCTTTCTTCCTCCTCCCCCTCTCCTCCTCCTCCTCCTCTCTTCCTCCTTCTCTCCTCCTCTTCCTCCCCCTCTCCTCCTCCTCCTCGCCGTCCCACCCTCGACTAGGCGGAGGAATCGATGGCCATGAGTCCCATCATGCAATGGCCATCAACTTTAATTCCGGCTAGGCGGGAGCAGTCTAAGTATGTCACCATGCGATCTCGGTACCAGGGCCGGTCGTAACCCGCCTGGAGTGTGACGCCCCTCGGAGTTAAGAACCCTCGTGAAGAAGATTTACATTTTTTTTTTTTGCTTTTTGCTTTTTTGTACACCT